CCCCCCCCCCCCCCCCCCCCCCCCCCCCCCCCCCCCCCCCCCCCCCCCCCCCCCCCCCCCCCCCCCCCCCCCCCCCCCCCCCCCCCCCCCCCCCCCCCCCCCCCCCCCCCCCCCCCCCCCCCCCCCCCCCCCCCCCCCCCCCCCCCCCCCCCCCCCCCCCCCCCCCCCCCCCCCCCCCCCCCCCCCCCCCCCCCCCCCCCCCCCCCCCCCCCCCCCCCCCCCCCCCCCCCCCCCCCCCCCCCCCCCCCCCCCCCCCCCCCCCCCCCCCATTTGACATGTGATGTTGTACGCGTTACTACCAGTCGGGGCCTCGAATTGACTTGAGTGATAAAAGTCGGGCACTATGTTGCAGATGGCAGCGGTGCTTACTTCGCAGGTCAACTCGCACCTCCAGGCATATCGCTGTTGATCGGGTCAGATTTGTCGCTGGCAGAGGGCTGGTTGTATTTGGGCCGGGTGAAAATTTTTTTTTAACTGTTGAATTTTTGTTTTTTTTTGGGGGGGGGCTGTAGGGGAAAGAGTCGTATTTGCTGTTGTTGGGAGAGGAGTCGTATTTTCTAACCTTCTGAGTGAGCTTGCTGACTTTTCGTGGTTTTTCCTGTTTCATGTGTGCTGTATACCTCCCCCACCCCCCCCTCCCCCCACCTGGACAACTGATGGAAAGGGAACCATAGGGGTGCCGTACCACCCCCCCCCCCCCTAAAGAAAAGAATGGATGGTACGGACTTGACGAAAATCCTCAACTTGTGATGTGCTCTGCTCGCACTAAGATGCTACACCTGGGAAGCAATGCTCACGCGCCTAAGCATAGCCAAACGCGCTGCTTGTCTGCGCCCTCTCACTTCTGGTTGTTCTCTGCTGACTGTGTGTTCGCAGGAAATTCGTGTCGACGCAATAGCTGCATCTTCTTCATATCGCACACGGAATATGGAGACGGCACCCGGGCATCGTTTCCCTCTAGCTCTGTTCCCGTGCACTTTCAGCAGAGAAAGTGGCTCACTACCGCAGCTGCGGACCGACTAACCCCGTACATGGCAAGGACCGGATCTAAGGAGGTCACTGTACAGTGTGTCTTTATATTTGCCAGCTAATAAACTCATAAATCTATTCAGATCTTTCATTCGAAAATGGACACTACCCGAAACAGTGAATCTTGAAGCGATCCGTACGCAGCTCAGCGACGCTGGCCATCTGTCCATTGAAGCACCGAAAGTGACTGAAGCGAGCAACCAACGCCGCTCGATTCCGATCGAAAGGGCCCCTTCCCACCAGTGAAGAAGCCTCAACCAAACGACATAGTTGAGATGCTTCTTTTCATCTGCATGGGATGATAAACTCATTCCCAGCACAAGTCGCGTCAATTCATTATGCATAACTTTTACGATATTTTCTTTGGCTTATCATGCAGCTTGGGTACTGTTTCGAGGTCACATATTTGGTTTAATAAATCCTTTACCAGAGCCAGTTCTGCTCATGCTTTACACACAGTCCCACTGGCAAGAGCTGGACGTTCCGCGTTCCAGGGAGCCGGGGGGGAACTGAGTTCGGAGCTGCGCCAGCCTTTTCTCCACACTAGAAACCTGGCAGGCGACCACGATGGTGGAGGATGCTTACGGCGCTGCGCCAAACCCATCCCTTCCCTTTCCCCGCCTCAAAAGCTGCCCGAGCATCTGCAGCGAACAACTCTGTAGTTGTTGGAAGTGAAAAAGCGTGTACATTTTCAAGCTGTTTACTGAATAGACATAAAGCTAGCCAATTCTATGAACAATGGAAGGCGGGGAGGGGGGTATTGATTAGTTCAGTGACCTAATCCCTGCACCCCATGCTCCTATAAGTTTTAGCCCTTCACCGTAAGTAATATTTCACTTTGAATAACTTTGCTCGGCCAAGACAATTTGAAGAGCGAACTACTTCTTCGGAACCAGCGTATAGAGCTCCATTCGGGCATGAACTTTTATTATCCCAAGTTTGAAAAAGTTCCTTTCTTGATCTGGCCTCTGCCATTTGATCATACAGTGTCCCAGGTTGATCTACCCTGTCGATGCCGTCGACCCCTCGTTTTGTTGGAGCCGTCTGCACTCTCCTCGTTGTGCGCACTCTCTCACTTTTTGCCAGTCTCTTGCTTTCCTTGGAACAGTCTTTTGTCAAGTGAAACAGAGGTCAAGGCGTGCTCAGGGCAGATGAGGAGGAGAAGTGAAGATCAAGAGTCTTTCAGAAACCGTTTATCAGAAGTAGCATGAATGTATGAAGGTCTTGACGCTGATTCCAAGGATGAGGGCCATTTGAGAAATAGCACACTTTCAAACGTTATTCTAGCTGTTTCAGGAGATGTTTCCTTCGCCTCCGTTGATGGCCATTTCTGGTACGCTGCTCATTGCTGCCTTTGCAAAACGCAGAGACAGCGTTCTACAGCTCCGATTTCACACCTTAAAGCTTTCATACTGGAGCCATACTTCGCGACTGGAGCGATTCTGTCGCGCTACTTCGAGGCCGCGCTCTTCCGATATCTCTGACTGCAATGTCCGAGAAATTCGATCCTTACTGTAAATAAAGTAGCGTTCGCGGTGGTGCAATGATTAGCGGTGGAGCGCGGTCAGTCGCAGTGGCTCGAGTCGAGCATGAAAGCAGCTCCTAGCTTTGACCGTAAAAGTGTTATGCCGTGGTTCGCGTCTTATTGCCAACACCTTCGCTGCTGGGCCTGGCGCGACTAACAGTCCGCCGCGAACATGTTCACAAGCTGCCCATGCGAGAACATAAACAGCTGAAGAGAACAACGGCGCCTCAGTCAGGGTAACATGTCGGTGAGGCTTCCCAGCAAGGGAGGGAGTCGTATTTCATCGCTGGGAAACATTTATCACATTTATATGGCTCACTGATTGAGTTAAGCAGGCTAATCCGCTCCGTCAAACAGTAATGCTTATACCATATAGGATGTTTTCTACCATGATAGTTCAGTATGGAAATTTACGCCTTTATTTCTCTCCTTTTTAGTGGGAACCACTGTCTTCTTAATGCTAAACCCGATTTGTGGACTGCCCATTTGGGATAATGAGCGAGATCGGAGCTAACGCCAACTCAAGACCGCGAACGACAGCGTGGCATTTTCGCATTCAACGCAATGAGGCCACGTTCATGGTCCGCGACTCTGGCGATTGCGACTAACCTCGTATCACTGCCAACCCACCACAGGCCAGCTGTTCCGGTCGAGCGCGGTCAGTCGCCGTTACCTACCAAATTGCTAAGTCGCGAACTATTGGAGAGTGCGTTCAGAGCTGCTGACGGCTGATTGCTGCCCACGTTTTGCAGAAGAAGCAATCAGTAGCGTACCAGATAAGGCTATAATCTCAGGCAAAGGAAACCTCCCACTTATAGTCAATGAAACTTCTTCGGAAGTGCTCAACCTCTCAAACCCTACTCCTGGAATCGGAGTCACAACCTTCATACATCCATGCTAATTTTGACAAAAACTTTCAAAAGGATTTAACATTGATCGCCTCTTCTTTTCTCCATTTGCCCGGAGCTCCCTTTATTTCTGGTGGCACTTGAGAAAAGTCGCCCTAACGAATGTGAGGGACTGGCAAAAAGGTGAGAGAGTGCGCACGGTGAGGAGGGTGCAAACGACGTCGACGAAACGAGGGGTCGACAGCATCGACAGATAGATCAGCCCGAATACCGTACGAGTAGACGGCAAGTGAAAAGATCAAGAAAGGAACTCTTTCATATTTGAAGATAAAAACGGCCATGCCCGAATAGTTCAAAGCCTTGGTGGATCTCCCTTGGCGAGGACCCTTACCTAAGAGGAAACACCGACGAAAGCAATGACAGTAGCAAAAGTGGGGGTCCGCCAGAAAGGGGTCCTTAAAGTCGCTGAGATTTCCTTACCGTGTCCTCTGACCTTCAATAAGGTTCCTTCCAGGCCATCTTTGGAAAGCATGGTATCACCAGTTGCAAGGGCTCGGATCCGGCGGAGATCCCCTTTCGCCCTGGATCTCCGATCAATCAGATCGCCTACCGCACTGGCTCTAGACCGGGCTGAAATCCCCTTTGCAGCGGGCTCCGAGCTTTAGGGGAATTCCCCTTCCAACTGGCTCAAGCCTTGGGGAATCTCCCTTGGCGAGGATTCTTACCTAAGAGGAAACGCCGATGGAACAGAATAGACCAGCAAATGTAGGGGCTCGCAATAAAGGGCATCTCTATGGGGGGCGTCTAAAAGTCGCTGGATTCCCTTAAAGGTGCCTCTGACCCTCAGTAAGGTTTCTTCCAGGCCATCTCTGGAATGCATGGTATCACCAGTTGCAAGGGCTCGGATCCGGCGGAGATCCCCTTTAGCCCTGGATCTCCGATCAATCAGATCGCCTACCGCCTTGGCTATGGCCCGCAGTGATCAAGCCATTGATCGTACCAATGTCGCTAGTTGTTCATGGAAGAGGCTATCGTTTGTAGTTTATATCTACTTGGTAATTGACTTCAAGCTGTACGAGCCGTTATTTACTAGCTTGAACGCAACCTTATTTACCAGCTTCACTCATCCAAGTGTGGGCCCTGAGTGATTCTCATAAAACTTGCGACTAAGCTGTTCAGGCCATGCGCTTGCAGACCCGCCTGGAAATCCAACTGCGACTTCACGGCTCTACAGGCTAGTGTTTCCGAAGCCGGATAAACGTATAACTTTGCAGCGGTCCAATAAGTATTGCAGCGTGCTCAGTTTAGTCGCGCGACAGAATCGATCAAGTACCAAAGTGTGAACGTAGCCTTGGAGAAGAACTTCATAACTTAACTGTCTTACATTTATTGACAAAATGACTCAAGTAACAACAACAAACGATTACGAGTAACAACTGTACACGTCACTATTAGATTAACTAGTTACAGTAATATCTACACCGAACGTTCTAAGAGCGTGCTAGTAACACTAAAATTTACTTACAATTTACATGAGCTAAGCTACAGTAGTACAAGTAGCCCAGTAGGATCACCCGGGACTGTCATTCGGAAATAGCTCATTTCTTTTCGGCGTTGTTCTTTATGGCGTCGGTCTTTACGGCGTTGTTCTTTACGGCATCGATCTTTTCGCCTTCGATGCTTTCGGTGGCAGGTACATCGCGTCGATAGGAATGGCTTTCATTTCCCGATATCACTGCTTTCCCGATCTTCGGTGCTTCGATGGAAAGTTGGCCATTGTCCGATAGGGAGGAGCGGACAGCGTCTAGGTCAACGTTTTCTGGTAGCATCCATTGGCGAACGAATGACCTGAAAGAAGAATACTTCGTGCATTTCTAAATTGAGCACAAAGGGGTCGGGAAATCGAAAAATGGTCCGCAGGTGCGATATTCGAAAAGCCGGAACGGAAAACGAAATGTTCTCAGCGAAGCATGGACTGAAGCCCTACTGTGGGTCACATAATCGTGTTAATAAATTTTCTATCCCCCCGTAACTCCAACCTCTGCCCCTGCGAACTAACTTCCACGTCCCTAGATCCCCTAACATTTCAGTCGTAGTGAAGTGCATCCCATTACTGACAAGGAAGGGAATCCTACTAGTTCCAAAACTTCTAGCAAAAATACCCATTATCACCCCCCCGTGAAAAGTGCTCGTCTCTGGCACCCAAACGCCCCTCATGATAAATTCTCAACAATATGTGAACTGCCCTCCCCCACCCGGAACAGGTGAATACATAAGTACAGAATGGAAACAAATGAGATTCCCTAAATACCCCCCCCCCCTAAAACTAGGGCCTATCGAGAGTCTCTAAAACAACTGCGGGCATCCCTGCGAACCGGAGAACCCCTATATTTGTGATCAAAAAAGAAAATTCAGAGTGTAGACTTACCTCATGGAATAGCCGTTCTCATCCTTGACTTCCTCCTTTCCTTCGATCGTTAGCTGACGACCTTCGATATTCACTTTTAGATTTTCTGGCTTGAATTTCGATACATCAATCGAAACGGCGAACTTCGAATCGTTGTTGACCACCTGGAAGAGCAAAATTTAATGCAGTCAGAAAAACTGTAGGAAAATAAATAGCCTTGGCATTGATAGAAAGAAAAAAGCCAAGAACGTCACCATTTGCTACCACCGCTGTTTCCGCTGCCTCCCATGGAACGGAAAGGCGTTGAAGGGGACCGAACATCATCGGTTCCAAATAGCGGAAGTCTCGCATAGCTTCCTCGACGAAGCGAGGCAGAATACTGGCAGGACGAATCCACAGAGACATTTTGAAGATAAGCTTGAAATCAGACGGATGCCTTTTGCTCCCACGATGGGCGGTGACTTAAATAGGCCGCCGCATCGGCGTCGCGGAATGCGCGGCGAACATTCTGCGAACGTCTGGTCTCCTTCGCTTGATGCACTCTCTCGCGGCTGGCTGCTGCGGCCACCCACCGGGTTTTTCGCAATGCGACTCCCAGTGACGCATTTGTTTACTGCATGGTCGCAGACGTACTGGAAGGTTCTTGCCTGGCACTATTTTTTCCCCAGGAGGTCCATTAGCCATTACCTAAGTGCAGAGCCACGAAGAAATCGTTTCCGTGTTCAGTACCGCGTCTGTGGAATGCGCTCACTTTACTTGGCTTCTACAATTAAGCTTTTTTTGTAGTTTTTTACCGTTTGAGTGTTTTTTGAACGTATCCAAGGAGCTATTGAAGCTTACTGATGTACAATCTTATTTAATACAGGGTGGGGAGCAGTTCATCTTGGTGGGGGCATTTTGCGATCATCACCGATGCCTCCTGTGGAGGTTTGTAAACTCAGAGCTATGCAACAGCAGGAGATTAGCTTACACTTGGCAACGTCTACAGGTCTTACCTAGCGTGTAACTTAACAGGAACTTGCAAATGAACTAGAGAAAGCGCAAAGACCCTCCCTGGTCCAGCCAATCAGCGCCCAGGGTGCTAATAAACTTAGAGGGGCAATTAAAAGAACTTCTTCTGCAAATTAGATACAGGGGTAATGGAGATAAGGACTTCTGCCGTAGCCCAAAGGGGGAGGAGCTACCTAAGGAAATAAACCCAAATCTTTACCGATGATGTTAATCGCCAATTAAATAGCACAAGAAGCTCTTTGAAACAGGGCACGTCCTGCTGGTAGGCAAAAACTC